TCAGCGGGCGGGTTTTTCTCGGCTTTGGTGGGGGGGGCGGGTCAGCCCCAGCCGAGCCCCGTTCCGCACGCCGCGCCTGTCATTTCGAGCGCGAGGCTGAGTGTCGAACCGGGGTGCAGGCCCCGGGAAGAAAAGCGAGAGAGAGAGAGAGAGAGATGAAGCCTCGAGCTCCATCCGAGTGGTGAAAAGCTGCGCAGCGCTCCCGGATCCTTGCCCGTGGCGTCGTGGGAAGGGCCGGCCACTGGGGTCGGCCATCGCCGAGGGGCATCTCTCGCGCGTGGCGCCATTCCCCACCCCAGGCGCCGCCGGGCCGTGATGTGGCCGGCCGCCGTCCCTGCTGCCAGCGCCCGTCACCGCCATGCTGCCGCCCGCCGCTGTGTCTTTGCCCATGATGCTGCTCCCGCAGGTCGGAGCAGCTCAAGAAGCCCAGGGCGGTCAGGGTTTGGCGCTGGGTGAGTTCGCCAGTGGGCCGGGCGCATCTGGGCGCTCTGTCCGGGCGCTCGCGCGACGCTTCGCGGCGCCACCGTGGGCGGCAGCTACCTGGTTGATCCTGCCAGTAGCATATGCTTGTCTCAAAGCTTAAGCCATGCATGTCTATGCACACACGGGCAGTACAGTGAAACTGCGAATGGCTCATTAAATCAGTTATGGCTCCTTTGGTCGCTCCTCTCCCGCTCCTTGGATAGCTGTGGTAATTCTAAAGCTAATACATGCCGATGAGCGCCAACCTCTGGGGACACGTGTATTTATCAGACCAAAACCGACCCAGGCCCCCCCAGCAGCTTTGGTGACTCTAGATAATCTCGAGCCGATCGCACGCCCCTGCAGCGGCGCCGACCCATTCGAATGTCTGCCCTATCAACTTTCGATGGTACTGTCTGTGCCTACCATGGTGACCACGGGTGACGGGGAATCAGGCTTCGATTCCGGAGAGGGAGCCTGAGAAACGGCTACCACATCCAAGGAAGGCAGCAGGCGCGCAAATTACCCACTCCCGACCGGGGAGGTAGTGACGAAAAATAACAATACAGGACTCTTTCGAGGCCCTGTAATTGGAATGAGCGCACTTTAAATCCTTGAGCGAGGATCCATTGGAGGGCAAGTCTGGTGCCAGCAGCCACGGTAATTCCAGCTCCAATAGCGTATCTTAAAGTTGCTGCAGTTAAAAAGCTTGTAGTTGGATCTTGGGATGGAGCTGGCGGTCCGCCACGAGGCGAGCCACCGCCTGTCCCAGCCCCTGCCTCTCGGCGCCCCCTCGATGCTCTTAGCTGAGTGTCCCGCGGGGCCCGAAGCATTTACTTTGAGAAAATTGGAGTGTTCAAAGCAGGCCGGCTGCCGGCATACTGCAGCTAGGAAAAATGGAATAGGATTTCGGTTCTATTTTGTTGGTTTTCGGAAATGGGGCCATGATTAAGAGGGACTGCCAGGGGCATTCATATTGTGCCGCTAGAGGTGAAATTCTTGGACTGGTGCAAGACAGCCTAGAGTGAAAGCATTTGCCAAGAATGTTTTCATTAATCAAGAATGAAAGTCAGAGGTTCGAAGACGATCAGATACTATCGTAGTTCCCACCATAAACAATGCCGACTGGTGATCCAGCGGCGTTATTCCCATGACCTGCCGGGCAGCTCCTGGGAAACCCAAGTCTTTGGGTTCCGGGGGAAGTATTGCAAAGGTTGCAAAGCTGAAACTTAAAGGAATTGACGGAAGGGCACCATCAGGAGTGGAGCCTGCGGCTTAATTTGACTCAACATGGGAAACCTCACCCGGCCCGGACACGGACAGGATTGACAGACTGAGAGCTCTTTCTCGATTCCGTGGGTGGAAGTGCATGGCCGTTCTTAGTTGGTGGAGCGATTTGTCTGGTTAATTCTGATAAGGAATGAGACTCTGGCATGCTAACTAGTTACGCGACCCCCGAGCGGTCGGCGTCCAACTTCTTAGAGGGACAAGTGGCGTTCAGCCACCCGAGATTGAGCAATAACAGGTCTGTGATGCCCTTAGATGTCCGGGGCTGCACGCACGCTACACTGGCTGGCTCAGCTTGTGCCTACCCTCCACCAGCAGGCGCGGGTAACCCGTTGAAGCCCATTCGTGATGGGGATCAGGGATTGCAATTCTTCCCCGTGAACGAGGAATTCCCAGTAAGTGCGGGTCATAAGCTTGCATTGATTAAGTCCCTGCCCTTTGTACACACGTCCCGTCGCTACTACCAATTAGGATGATTTAGTGAGGTCCTCGGATCGGCCTCGGCGGGGTCGGCCACGGCCCTGCCGGAGTGTCGAGAAGACGGTCGAACTTGACTATCTAGAGGAAGTAAAAGTCGTAACAAGGTTTCCGTAGGTGAACCTGCGGAAGGATCATTACTGGTGGGGCTTGGCCCCGGCCGCGTTGTGCCAGGCCGTCTGGCAGGCCGCATGCGCGCGGTGTCATTCGCGCGCCTGCTCCGTTCGCACGCTTGTCCCCTGACCGCCGGCCCCGGTCAGCACCGGGGGCCACACACCCTTCCCCTTCGCCGCGCGCCACAGCCCCAGAGAGAGAGAGACCGGAGGCGTGCGGCACCTCCGGGCGCGGGCGGTCGGAATTGGGAGAGGGGGGAAAAGCCGCTCGGCGTGGCGAAGCATGTCACGCGCGCCTGCCACCGTGCACGCAGGCGGGGCTCTCCCCGCGCTACACCGTGCGTCGCGGCCGGGCCTAGTAGCATGGCACGCTCACCGCTGTTGCAGCGGCTTGCCCCCCCGCCCCCCACACCACCCCTCCCACCCCAGCCTTGCGCCGCTCTGCCGCCGGTCCATCCCCACCAGACAGCGGGGGCGCGGCCGCGGGCCCCCGAGCCTCTCGCCGCCACGGCCGGCGCCGCCGAACGCCGGTTGCCAGCGTGCCACGTGCAGGTGCCCTGGCACGGCCCGAGTTCTCCCGAGCTTGGCTCTCCTCGGTGTGCGCGCAAGATAGCTGCATGAGTGTCAGGAGGGAGGGGTGCTCGGCACGGCCCCTTCCCGGAGGCGGGCCTGTCCCTTCCATCGCTGCTGTGCCCCTCGAGCGACGGCCAGCCATCCGGCTCTGGCACCCGTCGGCGGCCGAGGTGGCAAGGGCGAGGGAGCTGGGTGGTGGGGCGGCCTGAGCCACGGCGGTCCTCTTGAGCGCGCAGCGCTGGGCTACTGAGGGAAACCCCGGGCTCCGAGAAGGACGTGGCAGTGGTGGCGGCAGATGTCAGGCGCGCCCCTGCCGGTGCACGCTCCCCCAAAGGCAGCAGCAGGGGAAGCACCCCGGTGGGGCCATGCAGGTCGTTTCCTTCGCCCCAGGGCCAGGTACCTAGCGCTACGCGCCTCGGCGGTCCCCCCAGTTTTTTTCCCTCGGCGTCGTCAAACGCTGTGGGTTTGCCGAAAGGGGCCGGCGGGGCCAGGCGGCGGTTTAAAGACTCGGGCGGCTCGGCGTGGCCCGCCGTGGTGGCTGCAGTGCTGGCGGCGGTGGCAGCAGGCATACCGGGTGGTGGCCATGCGGGGTGCCACTGAGGGGTGGGGAGCAGCTACTCCCACCGATCCCCTGCAGTGGTTGTCCCGTTGCCACCGGCCGCGCTTGTCCGTCGCTGTCGTTGTCCCGCCCGCGCCGCGGGGGTAAACCGTGCTGCGCCAGGGAGGGGTGCCCTGCCCCCCGCCCCGTGGCCCATGGGGGCCGACCCGCTCGCCTCGCCATAATGGGCGACAGCAGCAGAGAGCGCGCCCTCTCTGCCCTTCCTCAGCCGCGGGGTCACGGCCCCTGGGGCCCATCCGCGCTCTCTCTCCTCAACCCGCCGCCGCAGTCTCTGGCGCGCACGGCGCCGCGTCCGGCACCTCTCCTCCCCTCGAGGAGCCTTTTCTCTTCGAATGCGCACCGGCAACGCCGTTGTCCGCCAGCTGTCCCCTGGCTCGACTGCCTGCCTGCTGGGGGGGTGAGCGCTCGGTGGGCCCTCCGGCGGCAGAGGCCCGCGAGCGCAGGCGATCCCGTGCAGAGCGGCCGTGGCGCCGCTCAACGGGTGTCCCTCCCTGCGGGGACGGTCAGCTGGAAGGCGCCCGCTGTCAGCCGTCAGTGGTCCCGTCCTGGGCCCCGCTCGTCGCATCCTCCATCGCCCTTCCCGGCCGCATGTGGGCCTCAGGAAGGCGCGCAGGGCAGCCGCGGGGGTGCTTCTCCCCGCCTGGTCTCCGCGTGCAAACGAGGAGTGCAGGCCTTGCACCCTAGCTCAATGCTGTCCTGCCTTCTACCGGGCGCGTGCCCGAGGTAAGGGGCCCCGGCGGTGCGACGCAGCGATGGCGGTCCTGGGAGTGCGGCCCCGGTGGCGGCGGGGTCTTCCGTCCGGCAGGCCTTGGGCCCTGGCTATGCCAGCTTGGCTCTCGGTGGCGCCCGCCTCTGGGGCCGGGGGCGGGGCACGTCCGCCGGTCTCTCACCTGCCCAGCAGGGGAGTGGTCCCGCAGGAGGCGTGCCGGTGGGGGCTCGTCGTCGTCGCGTGCCGTCTCGAGCCAGGGGAAGGCCGTGCAGTGGGGAAAGAGATAAGCCGGCCACGCAGCGGCGCAGCGGCACTCCGTGAGGCCCGCGGCGTCGGGGGCCCAGGGAGAGCCGCCGTGTGTGGGGGCTGATGGCCGCGCGCCCCCAGCCGTGTGCCATGTGTTTTGTGCGTGTCATCCCGTGAAAGTGAGACGTGGGTGGGCTGCCGTGCCCTCCCGCATTCCAGCGCGCGCTGCGTGGCCCTCTGCGTGGAGGCCGAGCCGAGCCCGGGCGCCTGGTCCGCCTCCGAAGGACGGCATTTGTGAGGTCGGCGTCACCCCTCGTGGGGGAGGCGGTCAGGAGCGCGGGCTCCCCCACGTCTTGGCCGGCCTTCGGAGTGTGGGTTTCTCCAGTTGGTTTTTATTCCCCCTTCTGTTTCTGTGTGCTCGTATGGTCAAAGCCAGGCGTGCACCCCTGCGTCCTCAGTCCCTGAGTAACAAAAAAAGGGGCCGCTTGGCGTGAGCAGTGCCCGAAAGCCAGAC